TTGCTCTCTCCATGACAATTCCACCAACACAAACGAAAACTGGAATACCTTCTCCGGGCCTCATTGTGGCAGATTGATATGACAACGACATTGAAACATGAGACGAAAACTGGGTTGATAATGACGTGATGTTAATAATATAGGAACAGACAATCACTAACAGTAAAGTGTTTTCAGCCGGCTCTGATTATTACTCAGACTCCTCACACTAATTACACCGTAGTCTATGAGAGGTATAGTAATATGATTTAGGTTTGTCTCACAGCGGGTGGCGAATTTTGAATTATTCGTGCCTACGTAACCCTGTATAAACTCGATGCGATACACCGGGGAGTTGTACATCTCTTGGTTCCAGAAATGAGCACATTTGTACATCAACACTGCCAAAAATATTTTGTATATTAATGTACATGTATACAACACGTGACAGAAAAACATCGAGGGATATTATCATTCACGTAAAAACGTATGAAGCAATGAATGCTCAATAAATTATCCTAGCACATGCAGTTATTAGAATACATATTTTAATTGTAATTTGAAGTAATCCTATAATAGACATCAAGGATGAAGTGATGTCATAAACAACACGTGCATGCTATTGCTGAATGGCCACAAACAATGGAACATTCAATTCGCTCCATTTGAATGTATTGACAATCATACAAAAGAATGACACAATTTACAATGTTTTTTTGTACCAAGCTTATATCACGACACTTGATTATGCGTTTTGCAGATGTTGTCAAATATGTCAAGTGTGTGTGTAACCATGGGTACGAATGTTACACGTCATCAAAACCACGTATCATGCTGATATCGGATTACGCTGCCGACAAACTGAAGTGAAATATGGCAACGACCAGTATGACGCATGAGGTTGGCATCATGCATACATGCAGGCAGTGATCACGCACCGAACTCGTGTGCAGTGCATGATAGCTACGTGGCTATTTTTCCCAGACGGTTTATAAACACCGACATTTTCTTTCACACAAAAAGGGGATTGTGAATATGTTGAGTGCACGGTACTTCATTGTAGTCATCGTTTGCTTTATTATCCTATCATATTTTATAATTTAATAATTATATATTCAAAACTATTTCATTGCCAATTTGATTTGAATTCGTATTTTCTAAGTTGGACCCTGGCCGTTGAATCAAGGGTATTAATAATCGTGTGCTATGTTATACTCTAAATTAATATGAAACAAACCTTTATATATAAACGATTGTATTTTACTGATTCAGTCAGTTAGTTACTTGTATGACCTTTTGACCCGTTTTATTCACATCCCCCCTTGTTATCAGCGCCGCGTATCACGTGACCACGACGTATGACTGATTTCTTAATATACAAATAATATTCTCATATTATTGGATAGCAATGTGGTGTATGTACGACCACTGGATGCACCACTGTCACGGTCAATGCAACCTTATATATATATATATGTATTTATTTATTTTTTTTTTTTAAATTAAAACAGACTCTTTAATATTCCGAGATTAAAGCTTTAAACATGTAGGCATGGATTTTATGATTTATTTATTGCAGTATGGCACGAAAAATGCGCATCTTTATTGTTTGTGCACGAGATGTGACGTCATTGCATGCGCTGCTCACCCTTTCCCTGGTCTTCTTCATTGAAGCTCTTCTTTCAATATTCCTATCAGTTCTAGCTGGCCCCGATAAAGTCCGTGTTAGTCTGTTCACAAGACTTCCTCGTTTCCGTGGAGGTGATTGGGTCACATTTAGCAAAGCACTACAGGAGCGATGGCCATTTTCCTCCGCCAGGTCCCTGCAATACATACATAGAACAGGCTAAATGTTATGACAATACTTCAATAGCAATGACCTGTGTCACTTCATATCGGGCAATGACCTGTGTCAGATCAAGCTATGACCTGTTTCACATTTTACCTACTGCATATTTTTTGTATTCAAAGAGTCGAAATGGTGGCACTGGCGACGTCGCTGTGTGGTGGTGGTGCCTTTCTTTGTCAATTATAGAATTTAGTGTTATTTATTACTTTCTGATTTTTTTTCGTAGTTATTAGACCTTTCAAATTTGTAGTTATTTTTAGTTGCATATTTTACACTATTTTTACCTTACTGTATCCACAGCAGATTACAGTTGCATAATACACTATTATTATTATTATTATTATTATTATTATTATTATTACATTAATTGGAAACAACTCTATTTTTTAAATGTTCGTTATTATGTGTGCATTTTTCTGAATTTTAATCAACGATCTCTATCACTGTAGCTGTGTCGTTGACTTGATGTGTTCCTATGCACTGTGTGGGTCCATGCATGGCATGTACAGTCAATTATTTGCTTAATAAGTGACCACGTAGTTGTTTTTAGCTACCACATTTTATGTTGCGTGCAAGGACGATCATTATTGTATTCACTCTTGTCACTCAAGGATCGCGGTCAAGGGTCAATCAAACAAGTCTGAATGTTGGCATGGTGCCAAATACGCCATGAGAAATGGGTGAGGCGTAAACAGCAGTTTGAGAAGGAATTTGAGGTGCGTTTTAGGTGATAAGTTATGTTTAAATATTAGCAGCATACAGCTTTGTCAGAAAGCGATTATTGTAAGTGGGAAGTTATTCTGTCCCTCTGATGTATGTACATATCTGAATGTCGTGCACATTAACAGGCGCCACCACTCATGTCTAGACAGAAAGTTTTGGAACATTAGTGTCTGAGAAAACTCGTAAATATTAAGAGCAAATTCATATGAATGCTTTATGTAAGTGCTGATGCTGAAAGATCGAGAATTTAATTTGTTTTGCAGATTAGATGCGTCAAAGTCATTAACTCTGGGGTCATTAGAGATTTAACATTCAAACCTGAAAAAACTCACTACATATCCTAGTGTGAGAAGAATAAATAATATGCTGAGTCACAGAACAAATCTATATATCCATTCCAATTGACACTCACTCGATGTTTATGTTTCTATTACGAGAACCCAAATACAGCCTTGTTGATTGTACTGTCGCCATAACAATGAGAATATTGAGACAGGAATTTCTTTGTTGCTAAATCCAAGAGATTGTTTGCAATAACAACTCTTAGTCTCTATATATTAGGTATGTCTTCATAAATTTCAAATACATCTAGGTAATCCACATGGCTCTTTCAGTAAATCTTGTCTCACCGCCACTCTTCATTTTATTTCATTTTATCTGTCGCTGTTTTATCCACTCAACATAATTATATAATACAAGTAGAAATCTTCCAATTATGTAAATTATAATATCAGTTAGTCATCCACACTGTGACAAAAGCGTGTGTTTTGGGTTGATCAGAATTGAACTTCGAAATGGATCCACGGGAAGAAATAAAAAACAGTTCTTTATCTGTTCAATAATAGTACATGTTTCTATGTTTTACCAATAAATTAATTTTACAAGCAACAACATGTCCAAAAATAAGAAAGCTATATTCTGTTACTTATAGTTAATTCTGTGAAGTGTGCTCGCATGAACGAACAGGACAGTTTTACTCCCGTTTAGAGAGAACGATGAATGGATGACATTCGTCCAAGTAGATGTAGTATGGAAGAACGCCACATAAAGCCATGCGGTTAATAGTGTTAATAGTGAAAGCTATTGCGCATATAGCTCACACTCCTTGAGATGATGTACCCCCTTCTCAGACAATATAGACCTTACTTGCGAGATGTTACGAGCAGACGACTGTTACCATGACCACTTAGATCATCGGATTAATGGCAAGTTAACTGACCTTAAAAACGAAGGTGGACATTATTACTCGTGTATGAGACGGGGTATCAGTACACGGTACGATAATTGGGGTAAGATGATACATTTATGTATGAGTCTTGGAGATGCTACTGAAGTTGATTAGAGATAGATTTACCGACAAAACGACGTACTCAAGTCTGTAATGAATCTAACCTGATGTTAACGTGACTTCGATGAGGATGTAAAAGGAGTAGAGGTGGAAGAACTAAGACATCAATATTCAACCAACAACGTACTCGAGAACTTTATTTGGCGTCTCGGTAGGAGCTTATATTTAATTTTGAAAAATGATGTGTGTTCATGAAATGTCACGTGAGCGCACGTTTTTTTAATTACATTCTGATATCAGCAACATTGAATAGGGAAATGATAATTAATTCTGGGTGAGGTGAAATGTACATGAAAGATATATTAAGGAAGAACTAATATGACATTGTTCATTGCAAAACAATTGGGCTTTAAAAATAATGTAAGCATTTGGAATTTATATAGAACATCATGTATTCTCGAATTTCTGTTTTCAAATACTCCATGTCAAGCTTCCACTTATTTCGTGACGTAATCTCGTATGACTGTTGTCACACCAACACAGTGATTACGTCAGTGTTTGATATGAATAAATATGAGAAGTAATTATTTAAACAAAACAAACTGTACTGTGAATTATCTTCTAACCTGGGTGTTCGACTGTCGTTATCCTCGGCATTTACATCAATCGGTTGGAAGCGGAGAAACACTTTCAAAGCGTTCACTTGGTCGTTGAGGGCAGCATAATGCACAGTGTTCGACCATTTCTGTCTATTTCACTCCCGCTACATAACCTCTGCTGTAACGCCCACTGTAACGTTTGTTCTTCCTACGAGAAAGTCAACATACACAATTCCAATAACTTTGAAAACACATATTTCAAATACAGTAATTGAAAATATGGGTTTAAGAAAAACATATGTTCAGAATTCCATAATTTCGGAATCATTTCACCAAAGAGATTGAAGTTGGCAAACCATTTTTTTGTTCTTGAAGCCACACACAATAATACAGTTGACCATGCAACCCGATCCGTCTCAGCTGTCACGTGATTATGTCTGTGAACAACAATGTGTTTTAATCCAAGAAACCAATAAAAATATAATTTAAAGATCGGGTTTTTTTGTGGAGGATTATACCGAAAAGCAATGTATATTATCTAAAATAAACGTTACATAAATAATGTGTGAGTACACACCACGTCTCTTGCACATTGTATTTCTAATGAATTTTGGTTGAAGAAATTATTTATCTACTAACAGTATGAGTCTGAAATAGTGTACGAATCACCGAAGAATCAACCGTACGGTACCTTTAGCTGCAGCAAGATGTAATGGTGTGGCACTATCGGTACTTCGAGGCACAGCGAGGGAAAAACAATGCCTTCGTACTAACCAATGTACACATTGTAAATGTCCTACAGATTGAAAAAAATACTGTTGTAACTAACAACTCGCTTAGCTTACGATTGAAGTTGGCAAACCATTTTTTTTGTACTTGATGCAACACTTAATCCTATCGCTCGTTCGCAATTTGATTAGAAACAGAAATTCCATATAATCCAGCGTCATCAAGAAACAACACACAATAATACGGATGACCATGCAACCAGACACTACTTCCGTCTCAGCTGTCACGGGAATAGTTCTACCTTACATAAACAGTGTATGGTATTTAATAACACAACATGACACATGCTAAAACACATGGATAATATGTGAATGAGGACGAATATATATTATACATGACGTCTACCAAAGGTGTCACATTTAGAATGGCATTGATTTGCTCGTTTGTGAGCAGGATAACTAAAAAAACTGCTGTCCAATTTTGTGGATGGTATGCCTTTGAGACAAAGATATTATAATACACTATAATCTGGATCCAGTTGCCATATTTTGAAAAGAGTCGTCACCATTGCTTGATAACTAAAACATTCTAGTGATTTTCATGAATATTTAAGAAATTTACCGGTGATACAAGGACCAATTTATAAAAAAAGTAGAGGATAGATCTGGATGCGGTTGCCATAGAAACAGGAATTCGGAAAACGATTTTTCACCAATGTCAGATAGGATCATTATAAGGGTAAGAATTCTGCAGCTGTGACAGAGACCATTTTATGTTCTGATAGACGATAAACGACCCTCTTAAAAACCTTGCTTGGTAACCAGACTTACAATCTGTGCAATTCCTTTATTCAGAACAATATTGTTATTTAGTGACATGGGTTATTGCCTCAATAAAAACAAAATTGCCGGTTGAAGCAATGCTCAACCCTTGTTATCCACTGTCTAGAGTGTGTAGATGTATACAGGGACACAGTGAATGTGTACTGTGTGTAATTAATTCTATAGTTGTTCATATACGTCATATACAATCCAGTTACTGGAGGGGTGTTCTATTTTAGTGATATAACGTTTGACCCACTAACGCACTCCACAACGCACCTTCAGCGGCTGCTGCATGCAATGGGTTACTTCCGTCCTTGGCAACCAGATGGGGGTCGGCTTTTGTGTTCTCCAGAAGCCACTGTAAACATTCCGTTTGACCATTTTCTGCAGCCAGGTAAACTAACAATAGAACAATAGAAACACCATTGATGTCAGTAACAAAACAATAGAAATTCCATTTAAATCGATAACGAAACAATAGAAATTCCTCTTAATATGTCAATAACAAAACAATAGAAATACCATTGATGTCA